ACAGGCGAGAGGGGGCACTGACAGGCGCATGCGCAGTGCGTGTGTCAGCGGGTTGGTCGGTCTTGTGTTTACAGCTCGTCTGGATGCTGTTGGCTGCTGATGTTATTGGGGAAAGTGCAATGTTGTGCCAACCGCCATTGGAATAAATACAACCGTGGGGATAAAGGTAAGCAGTGTCCCGCTCGCACGTCAAAACGTCAGCCCCGCTTATGTGTTGATTTCTGAAGAAGTGTGTAGCTGTTCGCTTTTTGTTGATTGTAGCATGGCTAGCAGACGTTAGCCAGCTCTGCTAGCTGTGTACAGTAATGGCCTGTGTGAGAGCTGCCTCCAGCGGCGGCCTGTCAGCGGCTTCATCCACCAAATGATCGCCAATACCTTCACACAGCAGGTCGTATTCATTTCCTCGCGGTGGCGGGATGGTCTCTCTAACTGCTCAGTGTGTATTTAAACCTTTTGGCCGGACTTTGAATTAATAGCTGCTGTCTAGCTATCTCAGCTAACGTAAGGGCCAACTGGGGCAATAAGTTAGCTGCATTAGGCTCGCCCAGCGGTATCGAGCAGAAACCATGAACCGCTGGTTAAGTTTTCTATTAAAGGGCTGTGGGAGTTCAAATGTTCCCAGGCGATGTGGCGCCTAACAGGCTGCATTGACATGTAGCAGGTTTGCTTGTGTCCACATTAAGTGGTGTAAGTTACCGGTGCGACCAGAAAGCCTATTCATTAAAGCTGCCTGTATTTGTCTGTGCTGTGTCTGTGACTACTGTACACTGGTAAACAACACATGTTTATGTGCTTTATTTGTCACCGTTTGTATTGTATCGTCGTATATGACAGCTGAATGTGCTTTTTTTTTTTTAAACATAGTGTGTATAGTGTTGTAAGTTAGTATGGTTTATAGTGACTGTACTGTACTGTGCGTTTTTATTGTATATGTACTTATTCAGCAGTCATCAGCCGTATTTCTGTATAGTACCATGAGATCTAAACACAAGTACAAGTTTATTTTGACATCCATCACATGAAATACATGCGTTAAACACACACATGAAATCAGAATAGATGAAGAAATCATCAACTCACATCATAAGAAGCTTGGTAGCTCAATATATCTACACTGGTATTGGTTTATATATGGTTAATATGTTGGTTTCGGCCACTTTAACTCACTTAATAAGTTTGTTTTGTATTGCTACACCAGGACAATATGAAAACAACGCAGTCTTTGGCTGTTAGTACCGACTGCTGTACAGTTTCTTACAGGCAGGAATGTAAATCATGGCTTTGAATCTTTCCTACTCAAGTACACTGGCACACTGTCCTCTTTAATCCGCTGTATTTTATGTGGAAGTTCTGTTATCGTCACATGATAAGGGAGGGACCAGAAGGGATTGTTATGAAAAATCTCTGTGGTGGCGTGCACGGGTGTCAAGATGCATTCAAGATTTCATAACTGTCTGAAGCAGTGGCTGAAAGAACTTGTTTTTTATATGCTGAATGTGACTCCACTGAAAAGCTTTACCAGTCCCCTTCGTATATATATATATATATTTATATATATATATATATATATAAATCTGTGCTATAATATATTTCCAAACTAGCTGTATAACTTTAGCAATACTTGTGAATATTATCTTGTTCTAGATTAACTTTGTGCCCACATACGGTCTGCCCAATGTAATTATATGTATATTATTATTATTACCTCTTTGGCCCTGGTTTCAACATCTCTAAATGATGTGCCATGCATCGTCTTTCCTCTGTCAATCAGTCAGTGAGTAAGTGTGAGTAGTGCAAACTGATATTTTGAGCAGATAGCCCCTTTGTGCAGTTATATTCCACATTTCTCTCATTTTCTACTAATAATGAGACAGTTAGTTACAGCAGCCAACTAGCTGCTGATAGCCTAACGCCTAAGACTCTTGTTACTGCCACGAATGGGATTGTTGATACCAGCAGCTTTTGTGCCTTTGTGAGTTAATTCTTCCCAGCAGTGGATAACACGCATGGTAACAGCGTAATGTGCCAACTGTCACTTCACTTGTCTGGGCTCTTTGTTCTTGCTCTATTTCCTGAAACTCAGGTATTACAGTAAAGCCTCGCTGCATGTGATGCAGGTCACTAAAAAACACAACCCAGATTTGTGTGTGTGCAAATATTTGCTTTGTTACTTAATAAAAGTGTGTACCAGAGGAGGAGAAAGGTCAGTGTTTAATCACGTGTTTTTTTTTAAAGCTAAAATGAGTATGATATATTTTCCCTACACAATTCCCAAACTCTTATGACCCATAATCATATGTGATAAATATAATCCCCCTCCTCAGAAGCAGATATGTCAAATCTAATGCCTGATGCACTTTCAGTCGAGATGCCACACGTTTTCTCTCAGTGTGTCCCCTCGTATCCTTCTCATTATAGCTCTATCTCTGACTGAGTTTCGGACTGAGCCCTGAATGTTCTGAAATCCTACCAACGCCCCTCAGACGCACCTGTTATTTGGGGAGCTGGGGGAGACCGAATGGCGGGGGGGCTGGCTTCAACTGTAGTGGATTACTGTTCCCTCGCAGTTGCCGTTGATGAGATGAAAGGAGACTGTGGGGTTGAAAGCACAGACGTATATTTAATGGCTAAGAGAAGTTTAAGGAAGCGTAAAGGATTTGTTACAGCACTCAATCACACCTGTGAAAACAACGAGCTTGTGGGAAATGCAGTGACTTACCTGCATCTGAAATCAAAGCCTTTTTTCTCAATAGGGGATTTCTGTGGTAGTGTGTAGTGTTGAGGAGCGTCTTTTAATTTTGCACACTGCTAATAATGAAGATCAGAAAAGTCAATGTTTGCTTTTAATGATATTTAATGACTTGCACATAGTTGATATAGCCATAACAGCCAGAGACACACCGTTGCTAAATAAATGTGTGTGAATAGCCTCACATTGTGCAGCTCAGTAGCTCACTGTGGTTTGCTGCAGCGAGTGCTCCATTTCAGAAGTTAAAAGCAGGGCCGGCACTGTGTGATCCACTTGTTTTTCCCCCCCCCTCTGTCATGTGAGATTGTGTTGTTGCAGAGTGCGAGACATGCAGAGGTTTCATTCGCGGATAGCCGACCGGGAGTCTGCTCTGCTGCGCATCTGAATCCAGATGATTCACAGCACAAATAAGATGTAAATTAGGGGACTGCGTGTGCGTTTGTGTGCTCATTCAGAGTTTCTCCTCTCTTTCTTTTCGTTCTCTCCCCATTTGGTACCCTACCTTGTGACTCACCTTGTGGTATTCAGCCTTTTCTGTCATTCTTTCTGCTTTCCCTTTCTCCCTGCTATCTCTGCCTGGCTGAAGTCACTGCTGTGAGGCGAGTGGAAAGGGACTGCGTCGCAAGCCTGAATGCTCTCTGGCTGTGTCTGGCTGTGTCTTCCTCTCCCTTGTGAGGCGCACGCAGGGCCCAGCTGGCAGCCCAGAACAGCCCGTTCAGCTGGAGAGTGGTAGGGAGGACAAAAAAAAAAAAAGGAAAGGCAGGCGTGGGTTTCCAGCGTGCACATTTTTACACATGTATTGACATCGGATGTGCTTGTTACGGATTCAGATACTTTTGTTTTTACCTGCAACAAACCGCTAAGAGAGGTCACTCTTGTCAGTTATTTGGTCCTAAAATGAAACTGTACTCTTCATGATTCTTTGCAGGACACGCCCAGATTATTACACTGCTGTTTGGGTTGGTAAAGCTCTGCCCTGCCACATCAGAAAACTTGGCTTGCAAACCAGAAAAATACAGTTTAGTGCCTGGTGGCATCTTATCACTAAATATTTGCTTGCTTAAATCAATCTGTGGTTGATAGATGCTGTTCATTTGGAAACCTGACATGGACAGAAACATAATGTACTCTGTATCACATTGTAAAACACAACAGTCACATTGTAACAGTCACCGAACCATTTTACCATAAAGGGAAACAAGCTTTCACAGGTCTAATGCCTTTGCATGCAGATGAACCTATGAAATAGAGCTGGAACAGTTAGTTGATTGCTGGACCCAGCTTTGCTTTTTTATAGTAAAAAAATCAGTAAAATACAGTAAATTATAATATACCCCCCTTAGCTTTAAATATTTAGCCTGACATATTTGACATTGTACTGAACTCAGAAACCAAAACAAATGAAAATAATTAATAGTTGCAGCCCTACTACAGTATGAAATCTATGATAAAATGATTTACACGTCTCAATGCGCGCGTCTTATTCAAACTCTAAAATGTGCACACCTTCTAGCACATTTTGTCGTGTCTACAAAAATTGTCTCTTGAGGGAAGTGCTTAGTGATATAGAGTGCGGTATTTTACCGAGGAAGTAACGCACTTACATAAAAATCTATCACCTTTCAGAACTTTCTGTCAGAAGTAACAGGACAGCTGAGCAGCAACATAACTGCCCGAGTATCACTGTGTTTGCCAAAGGTGGTTCAGGTCAAATGAAAACATTGTAGATGATGCGGGTCTTGTTGTCATGGTGACACACACACACACACACACACACACACAAAAGTGCTCCATCAGAGGAAACTGCTTCCTGCTTCTCTTGTCTTCATCTCCTCTCCTTTTAAGCCCTCCAACAGGCAGTAGAGTAGAAAAAAAGGAAACAAGCCAGAGGATAAGAATAGATAGAAAGATAAGATTTACAAAGCAAGATTTAAAATTAAAGATAAAAAAAAGAGTGTGACATTTAGATAGGAAAAGCACATTTTTTGTAACAACCAGTAGCATTGATTACGAGTCTTGTTGGAAGTGTACCAGGGCGCTGAAAAAGGTTGATAAGGAACGGCGTTGATCGGCAGGAGCAGGCAGAGGGCTGTTGCTGAGGCTGGGGAGGAAAGCAGGGCGACAAGGCAGCCATTATAAGCCTGTTGGAGCCGTGAGCTAGTCAGAGACATAGAGAAGGAGGATTGGGTGTGCATGCACATATGGGCCTGCGGGTGTGTGCTTATTTGTGTTCATAATACAGCTGCTTGTGCGTGTGTAGGGTACGTGTGATGCGGCATTTTCTGTTTATGCATGTGTGTGTGCATCTAGGCTCGACTGCGAAGGTCGATAGAGTTTTTGGTACTTGCGCCTTGAAACAGGAACGAATTAGTGAAGCTAATTGGCGTCTTTTTCAAAAAGCACCGTGAACTGTGAAGTCTCGTATACATTGCTCTCTAGTGAGGTGATTGACGCTGGGGTTACAAAGCGGTTGTGAAGCTTTAGGATGACCAGAAAATAAGATTGGCCACTGTCTAATAATTTCTTTTCAAACCAAACATTTCATTTTTTGGAAGCGTTTCTCTTGGCTTATAGGATGGGTTTGTATAAGGGCATGGTAGCGTCAAATGAGACCATTAAAACCGATTATTTAAGCATGTAAAAAGATGCTGCCAGAAGGCTTTATTCGAAGTTACTCAGAGGCTTTAAGAATGTAAAGGACTTTAAAAAAAGCATTTTCTTTCCATGAAAGTTCTTTTTCACATTTGAATGATCAGTAAAAGACAAGAAGATGTAGAAACTCATCAACACAAAATCTGAGACTAATCACTCGGAGGACAAGTGTGCTAAAAATGGAAAGCAGCTGCCTTTGAGCCAAGAAGTAGTAGTAAACATCTGAAATGTCTCTTAAAGATTTAAAAGCTTGAGAAGATAAACAAGGGACCTGAGGAATGATGCAAATGTCTCTCATGGATTCTACTGAGTCTTTTCTTTTTGGACTGGTAGGTTGCACTAGTATTTATCACACTAGCTGGGTGGAACTCAATAAAAGTCTGGCACACACACACAGACACACACACACACACACACAGGTGTTTCTGATTCCTTTGGGTGAAGCTACGTTATCTGATGTCACCAAACTACAAGAAGTAATAACAGTCATAAAGCCTCAGTCAGACTGAAAATGCTTCCTAGTTATTTCTATGTGAAACAGACCAACACGCGTTCACTTCCAGTCACTAAATGACCCACTTGTTTTGCTTTGTACAAAGGTCAGTCTAATTAAATACTTGAAACCGCGACTCCAGCCAGTTTAAGAGAGCGTGTGCGAGAAATATAGTTTTTTTTTAACTGTGTAAACTGACCTGGCCCGCCCAAGCAAGTGCAACAAAACTGGAGAGCGAGAGAGTGAGATGAGGTCTACCCTAATCAGGGGCTTTAAGATAAGTTGTCATTACTGACTGGAAGCATTTTTTTATTTTTTGGGGAACTGTTGAATCAATGCAGAGTCCTACATTATAAGACCAACCGTGTAATTCCTGTGATGTGATAAAATGTTGTGTGCTGCAGCATTAAAGACCACGCTGAAAGCTATTAGAATTACAATTCCCCACAATCTGACTTGAGGTCAGTGCTAAACTCTACAGTTCAGGTCCCCGAAGGGAACAGGAAGTTCACCCATACAGAGTTTTAGATGAGAATATTTACTTGCTTATATTTTCATAGTTCATTGTACTTTCTAGCATCTTTTTTAAACAGCCTGTTTGGTATGGTTCAAACAAAGTGGTGTGTTTTGTCTGTTTGTTTCGGTACATTTATGGTTCATGTACCGGACCAAGATTGCTTGAAAAGGTGGGTGTTGGTCTGATTCCAATTGCACTCCGGTTTTGATTTGTGAAACATATATTTACGCACGGTATGTATACATGTAAGTGCTGGGACTTTCCGATGACATTAGGAAGTGAAAAGGAGTTAAAACAGGTCTGTGCAAAGACACGGTCGTAAAAAAAAGTCTGTCATAATCTATCATTACCTGTCATGTTCATTTTTATTTTTTAATAGCATTTAATTTTCACGCAATAAAAATGGATCACTATGACATTTAAAGGTCCAGTGTGTAATATTTTGAGGTTGTATTGGCAGAAATGGAATATATCATTTGTATAGTTATGTCTTCTTTAGTGTATAATCACCTGAATATAGCAATCGTCGAACCACCGTGGGCCTTTCCTTTATGCGAGTAAAGTTTCGCCTGCACACTTCAGTCTGCAACTTCAGCGCAAGATGCCACTAAATGTTACACACTGGTCCTTTTTAATAAACAGAACTTAAAGGTGATGTTGGGTGACAGTCACCTAAAAGTCCAATGAGTGAGTTCCTTGTCAGTGCGTATGATTCCACGATTACTCCTCTTGGGTTTTTTGTTATAAGTCAGTGTGAAAATGAAACAGACAACAACTGAAAGGCAACCATATTTATTTTTGTCTGGGTATTTTGTCAAGTGAATCAAACTAAAAATGTAAAACAAGCGTTCAACTCCTCGTAAATGGTGGAAATCCTATCGGTACTAGATTCTAATGAAATGTTTTAGAGGTCAAAAGTGAGAGTTTTCTGCTCAGTCTAAGGCGACAGTATGTTTCACATGACTGCTCATCGTATCCTGTGACCCTTTCTCTCAACTTCAGTTTTGCAATACAAGTGAAAAACAAAACCCAGGCCTCTAGGATGAATACCAGTTGCCCATTCCCTCAGTTTGCTGTGAACAGATAAAGAGTCTAAACTGTCAGTTTATGTTGGCAGCCTAATAATAGCATTCATATCAGCACAACACGGTGTAAAACTTTATGGTAACACAGAGCTAGCTACTTGTATTGTGGTTCATTGTGGGTCAGTATAACAATGTTATCCTAAGTAAGGAACATTATTAACTGCTTTGACCTTTCAGCTGTAGACCTTTATTCCCCATTACCTCTCCATTGTTGGACCTTATTTGAATAGGAAGGGCAAGGGTTTGACAAGAGAGCGAAGTGGAAAAAACAGCAACTGAAACCTTCAGAAAAATGTAGGAGTGCAAGGGCAGCCCGTATTTGAGGGCACTAGGGGCTGAGAAAATAGAAGATTGCAAGGGGTACTGATAAGGAGGGCATGAAGAAGAAAAGAGTAGTAAAAGACAAAAAGGGAGACGGATGGGAGAGAATGAAAGGGAAGAGTGGAGAGGGGGGAATGGCCAGAAATAGCTTGTTATGGTTTCTTCTTGAAACTCTGCCAGAACCTTCTGTTGTGCCTTTCTTCCTGTGTTACACACAATCGCACCTCCCTTTTTGCAGGTGTTACCTCACGGCCTAACTGTAAAGATAGAGCTTTACCTCTTTTTACTTACTAAAAACTAATGTTTTCTTTCTTCCTACCCCCATTTCCGTACCTGCGCTGACAAATACAGACCAAAAAAATGATTATTTCAGTGTGGAAGTGGTTTTTGACTTTGCCGCAAGAAGTAAAAAGTGAAAAAATATGTTTCTTTTTCTTACTTTCCTACACCTGTTCCAAACCTTGCATCCTCTTTCTAGGTCTTTTGTCCTGTCATCAGCTTTCCTCCTCACAAATAATGATGTTGCTTTTGAGCATTTGCAAACTTTTACCTGTGAAGTTACACAATGGCGGTGCATTTATCTTGCGCCAAAATCTGATGCTAAGTGAAACTGTCAGTGACGGGTTGATGGAGGGAGCTGTAGTAAAAGGCAGAGGGAGGGACGAGCCGACGATGCGCAGTGTGTCCCGCAGGATCTGAGCTCAGATTATTTGTGGTTGTGACAGCAGGCCGGGAGAGCAGCGGTGCTGGGGGAGAGCATGCAATGTAATTAGCACACTCAGGACATCCTTTTCTGTGTTTTAATATATTTCTGGTGTACATGTAATGTGTCGGCGGTTAGACCACAATTGAGTCTTTTTAAAGGGGGGCAGCACCGACGTGGAATAGATGGATGGTTGTAGTGAGCTGGCTTGTTCTTTAATTCCTCACTTTCATATGCATGTTTCTTTTCCAAAATTGCATCACCATGGCTTTGCGTTGCATAAATCTCTGTTGCAAATGCGTCTCTTTTATTCTGTTGAGATAGACAAAAATGCCTCGTATGACCCACAGACCCTCTTCCCCTCCCTCTGATCTATCCTGTCTCTACTCCTTCATCGTAACCTGCTCTCTTGTCTATCACTTTCACTTGGACTAAACTCTTTTGCTTAACTTTTCTTTTGCGCCCTCCATTTTCTCTTTTCGCTCCCTCTCTCCAGGTTTTGTAAAGCTGCCTCATAGTTTCCTTCAAGTGCTTTAAAGACCTTTTAAAACTGAATAATAAATGGTCTCACCTTTTTTTTTTTTTTTTTTAGTTAGTTTCTAAGTAGCCAAGTTTCCAGTTGCATTAAAAGATGCTTTTCATGGATTTCATCACTTCATGACTGTTTTCTGCTTCTTTTCTTTATTTATTTTGTTCTTTTTCTAGGTGATTTTGCTCATCATCTCCCACCACTTCCTCCTCCCGTCTTCCATTCATGAGCAGCGTGGCTGAGTTTAACAGCGGCAGCCATGGATGACAAGGGCTCGGTGGGGAAGATTAGCGTGTCTTCGGACTCAGTGTCCACTCTCAACAGTGAGGACTTTGTCCTTGTGTCCCGGCTGGGGGACGAGACACCCTCCTCCACTAATAATGGTAGTGATGACGAAAAGACAGGACTGAAGGTAAGGACGGTTGGGTGTAGGTATGGACGGAAGTCTGAGGGAGAGGTGGGAGACTTCACAGCTGTACTGGACAAATCAGAGTATTTAGGAGTGTCACTGGTCTGTTGACAGTGATAACAAGATCAAATCCTTTCCCAAGACGCTTCTTATTATGAATATCACCATGATGCTCGATACTGATAATAGAAAACCTGTAAAGCAATGATATTTTTTTTCATCAGTGTAACTTAAACTGAGGGTCAGGGGTTAAAGTCCGTACATATTGTTAACAGGTTGTGTTTACCACTCACATGTCAAGAGCTCTCGCCCATCTTTTTAAACATGCAGTCTCACACTCTAACCATAAGGCTAACCATTTCTTGTTTTGCTTTTTCCACATTCTCATTCTACCTTCTTCTCATAGTCGGTCTTAGATTTGTGTCTGTGAATGTCCTTTTTTTCATTTTCTACAGTAAGAAAGCCCTTAAATCCCTGTTGAAGCGCACAAAATTGAGAGCACATTGTCACAGGCTTTGTTTCTAGTGAAGAACTTGTTCTTATCTCTCAAACCTGTAAAGAATTACGTTTATTTCCTGTGTTTTTCCACTGTAAAATATCTGGGGTAGTGGGAAAAGAAGCCATGAAGAAAACACACTTATCCATTAGCTGTCAGCTGGTATTTTACCAGTTTGTCATTCAGTGTCAGTAAGTTGAATGATACTTAACGTTGGGAAAACATCTGCAGTCAATCCGCTATCGTACCACAGAATATCTGACATACAGTATGCCCTCTGTGGTTCACTCACTGAGCAGATATTGGTTTACAGTGTGGCGATGCAGCCGCGAGTGCTTTGAACTCATTGTCAGGAGAAAAAAATGGTGTTTTGTGACTAGGGCGTGTCTCCACAAAGAGAAAAACTTTCTGAGGAAACCAGCCACCATCCTGTGTGTGTCCCTAATGGGTTCAGGTTTCTCCTCTCCTCTACTCTCTCCTCTCCTCTCCTCTCC